AAACATACATATAAGTATGAGCGAATCTGAAGAGTTATTTTTTAGTGTCACTTCCTTCTGTCGCCAGAATAAAAACGCTAAAGCATTCTTCTTACATATGTATATTTCAATCAATGGAGTTCCAGAAATAAGTACGATAAAAAAAAATCAAGTATTTGGAAAATTTTAGCCTTAAAACTTTTGTTTACTCATTTTTTCATTGTTACTCGAAAAAAATCGTAATTATTATTTTTTAAATAACTTTGGAAAGTTTTGGTATCAAATACAATATATTTATCTGTGAAATTTCAGGAGTATACCACGAAATTAAAAAAATGGCAACGTGCAGAATATGTGTAGCAGCTATTTTATAATTAATGAAATTCTAAGATTTTTTCAATAGTAATCATTTTATGTAGATACATACTTCAAAATGACAAAATTAAACGGTGAAAATTTTCTTATTGCCAACACGAATGAATCTAGTGCAATAATTATATTGAGTAAAAGATGACTATGATTTGAGAAACTAAAATTCCATTTTTTTAAGTTTAAAATTGTTATATACTTGAAGAAAGTAGTATATACATACATGTGGGAATATATTGTGAAGCTTACATTCAACAAGAAGAAGACGTGAACAGCCATGTATCGACGAGAAGACGATGAAGACGCAAGAGAGAAGACGATTTGAAAAACGACGAAAGACGAGGGGAGTTGAACGACGGCGATTAAACCGAAAAGACGTGTCGGCGAGAGTTTGCTAATTCAATTTGAAGAAGTGCCTTTAAATACTTTTGTATTCTTAACTATTAATCTTAATTACTTAAATAAAACAACCTACATACATATGTGCACAAGGAATACTGTGTAAAATTTGTTTAATTACTTTTAAATAATATGACTTAAGTTAAGGCGTCCGATGACTGTGTATGGTGCTACGGGGCGTATACGCTACATACGCAACTACGGGTATATGAGGACGAGTCGTTATTTTTACTTTTTATACCGGAGCGCACTTGTGTACAAGGGTATTATAACTTTGGTCACATAACGGTTGTTTATAACAGCCAAAACGAATCGAGATCAGCGTTGCCGATTTGGTAATATTTTCCCAAAACTGGTAATTTTTTTTTTTAGAACGAGTTTGGTAATTTGGTAATTTTTTTTCAACTTGGTAATTTTTTTCAAGTTTTTAATACTAGCTTATTGCTTATAAAAATGTATAACTTTGAATCTTCTTACAATTGCACAAAACAAAAAAAAAATCCGTATGTACTTATGACAACTCAGAACTTTTGGTATGAGTTCGCAATATAGCAATTTAAGGAAACCACCCATTTTTCCCAATACGGCGGCTCGATTACAGCCGCTGCAGTCCCACAAATCCGGATTTTGGATAATTTTTACCTGCCGGAACCAATGGTGAAACAAAAAAATTTCACAGGACTAATTAAAATTTTGCGATCAAATACAAACGTGACAAGTTTATACATTGTAAAAGTAAATTTTATCCATCGTTTAACGACACATTTGCTGGTTTCATGTTTTGATTTTATGTTATGCAAAATACTTTATGTAAAAGACTGTATGTTACAGCCAGTGGCGTAGCCAGGATTTGGCGAATGGGGGGTGGGGGAATTAAAAAGATTTGCATTGATAACTTAAAGTTGTGATACACAATGGCTAAGGGCGTCGCCTCTTTTTACTTATAAAGCGATTTTTAATCTTCGTTGCTTAACACACATATTTTCAATTACTTCTTGTGTTGTAATCGGCACATCATTATGTACCGCTAACATCGCTAAACCATTCAGCCGCTCCTTAATTGTATAAAAAGAAGGGACACATAAGATAGCATATTCAACAATTGAGTAGTCCACTTGCAAAGTGCGCTATGTAAATTTTTTTTCGATTTTTAGTTTTTGGTGGGTTTCATGTCCACTAACAGCAGAGTGAAAGATTTTTCCATATTCTGAAAAAATAGCATGAAATGTTAACTAATCTTGCAAAAGTCACTATAACACTTATTTATACACTTTCAAAAGTCTCCTCTTCGTATGAACTTAGAAAACTGCAAGAAAACGTGGTAGTTTTGGTGCCTAGTGGAAGAGGTCGCAAAAAAAAGCAAACCAATCTTCTTAGAGGAGTGAACGCGAAAAGCTGAAAAATGCTAGCTATGTAAAAGTTACTGTTTCAAAACTTGCAATATTAAATTTTTAAATATAAAATTTGCAAAACTACCATACTGCAATTTTATTTTTTTAATGGTATTAGGCTCTTATTTATCCAAATTTTCAGGTAATCAAAAAAGATACAGTTCGGATGTTCCTTGTTGTCGTAGACGTTTTTTTTTTTAATTTGTGGCTTACTTTTATAAAATCACAAAACGCTGGTTGCAAGTGGACTACTCATATATTCATTAAAAGATAATTTGTCATTCGTCTAAAATAAGAAAATTTTAAATCAGAAGGAAAAAGTAGTATTGTGTTGTTAATTCAAAAGTAACTAATTGTAGTTCAATGACGAAGAGGGGAGGGGATCGGTCGAAAAATATAAATAGATCTAAGCTGGCCACAATTCCAGACGTGATGTAGTTCAGTCGTCGCCAAAATAATTATCTACATTCGTCGAAAAATAATTTACAATTTGTTTAGAATATTATGCTCATAAAAATTTGGCAATTTTTTTATGAGTTTGGTAATTTTTTTTTAGCGGTTTGGTAAAAATTAAAATCTTTGTGGCAACACTGATCGATATAGGTATAGATAAATGTATACATACATAAATGCTCAGAATGAAAAAAAAAGAAATCGATTTAGCGGTAAACCTGGCAAAACATACCAAACGGCTGAACATTTTTTAAGTAGGGCAATAACCATGCTCCCATCTCATATAACGGTAATTTATGGAAATACGAAATCTTCGATAAATCAATAAATACTGAAGCTAATTTATTCAAAAATTATATTTGCAATAAATCTTAAACACGCTTAAAACAATATTTTGAAAATGGGCTTGGCACTTATGACGACGTATCGATAACCTTCTATAAATGTTTACCAAACTCGGTACAATTATTTTACTTGCCACATAAAAGGAAAACGTTGAAAATTTTAGAAGTCAGGCTAAAATTACGCCTACTTTTCAAGTAGCGGTAGAAATGCTTGAAACTTGGATATTTCGAAATTCAAGGACGCTAATTTACTCAAAATTGATACTCACAACAATCACTTAAATATAAATAACTCTACAATGGAATTTTACCGCTCACTTGTAACTAAGTGTGTATATAAGTATATCTCATTAAGTCTAACTAAAAATACTATCGAAATTGTTAGAAATAGGGGTAAAACCTCTCTGCTTAACATACCATGGTAGTTTTCAGAAAGGCGAAAAACTATATGTAATACCTGACCGGGTACTTAAGTTCAGCTTCGAACGAACTTTGACTTTTTTATTTGTTTTTAGTACATATTTTTAAAATTTTCATTTAAATACAGTTGCGCGTTGGAATATTGTTCTTTATACAAAACTGAAGATAATGCATTTTCTAAGATGAGTGTTGCTCCATTTTTCGACCAAAAACACGTTTTTGCACCAAAGTTGAATTATTTCAAACCGGTTTTAAAAAGTAAGAGCATTACATTACTTTCAAATATTTTGTAATGTGTGTTCCCTGATAATGTTTGACTACGTAAACCAATTTCAATTACATCAATGGAGAAACTAGGTCCCATATGAATTTGGGTCAGTTCTGATTACTGTATTATTGACAAAATTCGTACATTTGCATAATTTTTGGCTAGGTTAGCGGATTGAAAATGGGTTGTATCTAGCGTGGCGAAATGTTCCGTATTTGCCGGGACGTCGGATATTTTGCATTAAATTTCAAATGTTCCGCCAGGAAAAGATTCAATTTGTAAATTAAAATTTAATTAATATAAATTGATGAACATTTGTGGTATCTGATATAGATCGACCCATATTTTAAGTGAAAATTATTAGCAATAAATAAAGTTCCAACAGCATCATTTTGAATTTTGCTGCTATTACTTTGACCGCAATTGTATTTTTTAACATGTTTTTATGGTTTTTTCAATTATATAACCACGTACATAAATATTTTTGTATAAATTAAAAAAGTGTTGCCATAATCTTAACATTACTTCATTGAAATGGATCACCTTTGTTAATATATGATTCGAAGTTGGGCTTTTAAAGCAATCCATTATTTCTCATCTGTCCGGACAAATTATGCGATTGTCCCATATGATTGGAAACAAAAATCTGGCAACACTAGTTGTACCTGGAGAATTTTCGAAAAAAAATTTAAAACAACTAAATTTTTTTATTTCATTGGAGATGGAGAACCAACTTCTTTCATTTCTTTACTTTTATTTTATAGTGACTCTTGGGAAAGTGCTAACATTTTTATGTTGAATACATATACACTCGAACGGAAATGGGGGAAAAAATACGTAAATACATACGTGTTAAATTATTATTTTGTTTTCAGATTTCGAATATGAACAATGCAATTTTAATATATGGAAAATAAATATCTTGTCGTGAATATAAATGATTTCTGGTCTCTGACTTTTGCTCTATTAAGTACACCCAATTCCCCGAGCTAACCTACCAGCGTCAATGTGAACTCAACATAAATATGAATTTACAAGTCGAAGGATGCCATAGTGTAGAGCGCACTGTTGCAAACTGGAATTAATGTGTAGTTATGTGTAATGGTTAAACAAGAATAAAATAAAGAAAAAACACTGAAAGTGAATGAAGCAAAGGTTTTATGATTTTCCAGCGAGCGTGAATTTGAAACTCAACGTGGGGTTAAAATATCAAAATCCGCTCGCGAAGGTTCTTTGTTTTAAAATAAAATACAAATTAATTTTACTAACAGACGAGTGAGTGAATTTCAAAGTATTGCAGCTGCACCGAGCAAAGCGAAAACTACTACACAATCACATACACATCCCCTTTTGCAAATTCACTCACCTACACCAGTTGAAACACACACTTGTAAAATATTTACTGTTACCTTTTGCTTGCTCTTTGGTTGCTGCTTGTGCGTATGTGTGTGTCCCTTTTACCCCTACAAGCACCGTTACACATTCCATCAAATACATATTTTGTGCCACTACACAAAAATACAAATCTACGCTAAATGCTAGTGAGAAAAATGTCGGCGGCTGTCAGTTCAACCGTGGCTGCACTTGCAGCTGTCGCAGCGACTACTACAACAACAGCAGCAAAAATTACCAACTTCACTACAACGGCTGCGGCAGCGGTGGCTCGAGCAAACAACAATTACAGCAATGTTTCCACAGTAATGGGCATAGGCAGGCAAGGGAACAGCGTAAGCGCGACATCTGCTGCTGTTGCTGGTGTCTCCGATCATCTGCCGCTTCAGCTGACCACTGCCAAAGTGGATTTGGATTTTGAAATAGATATACAGCTGCTAACGAATGCTTACGAAGGCACAACGGTAAGTTGCTAAACAATTTCAATTGTTGACCTTTAATAGATTATATCGCTAGTTTAGAGTGAAAAGTTGCTAAGTCCACTTTTTATGAAAACTCGTATTTTGATAGAGGAAGCTAGAGAAATTAAGAGTGCATCGTTTCGAAAAGGAATAAGGAAAATTTGCTTAGTCCAAAAAAGGCTCCGAAAAAGCGATAAGGAAAAAATATTACCTACGAAATCTTTTAATAAAGATCGAATCCCTCTGATTCGTATGGAGTTTTGCTTTGCTTTATACAGGAAAAGTATTGTATTCAAAGTTTTGCGAACTACTTGAAGAAAATGGCTATAAGAACTTTTTTCCTCTCCTGTTCAATTTTTAAATTGGGACTTAGCATTTCTCTGTTAAGATGGTTTTACATGAGGTGATTTATTGATTGACGATAATCGCCTGCAAAATTCGACTAGGAGTCTACTTTATGGCAAGCGATTTTTAAATTACCATTTAAACGAACGATTTTTTTTTAGCAACTCGACTACGGAGTAAAACGCCTGTAAAATCGAAAACCAAGTTTTCGCACTAGATTTAAAAAATTAAATAGCTAAGACCCTATTTTGTGGCAGTATTATTTTTGAATACTTAGTAATTTTAGGTGTTGACACAGGTATTAGCAGGGTTGCATCGGAAAGAACACACTTTGAATGCGTGTTCGTTCGAGTCATTTCCTTTGTTGCATATAAACACTTTTGGTGGTGAACATCGACTTTGAAACAATATGGTAATCAGTAAGCTGTTTTTGTCTCGAAAAAGGTCACTAATTTGTAACTTTGGGTAGGTCGCTCAAAGCAAAATTCGGAGTAGAGGATAATTGCATTCGGTTTTACTCTAAAAATCGCAAAAATGGAGTGGAGAAATATTTTTTAACTACAATTTCATTACAGAATAAACCTAAATACTTCAATATTTTAAAAATGAAATTTTTTAAAAATGAAATTAAAAAAATGAGAAAAGGAGGAAAGTTAAATTAGAAAAAAAGGAAAAAAAAGTTGATGTCCTTGGTTTGGTACGACCAATTCATGTTTATTTATATTTTTTGTAGGCTAGTCTGATCTGCCAATTTTAAGTGCAAATAAAGCTCACAGAAAAGAGAATGAACGAGGATTGATTCTAAGTATGTATTTGAGTCATGAATTTACATCGAATCTAATTGAATGGCCGAGGGAATAAGACATATATATGCAAACTTGCCGACTTCCACTGTCTATCTCACTTTTACACTTTTCTTGAAGCGCAAACGACGATTGATTCGCCTGTTTCTCCTTCTACTTTCATTATCGCATTATTGAGTTACTTTGTTGCGTTGACGCAGCTAATAAATATGTGCAGTACTGGGTATTTTTCAGCGCAATAACGCAAAGCAACGCCGCGCTACTCTAGCCTACCGCTCTTCTATTCTCAATTAGGTCAAAATGAACGTGGCGGCATTGTTCATTGCTTCTCATTTTTCAGGGTTCTTACCCCAAAAAACTCAGTGACTGTGATTTCTATTCACATTCACTCGCTTTATTGCAGAATAACTATGAACATATGTAAATATATTCGGTGTTGTGCAAAACATATGCAGCTAAGTACGTTGCTCCTTTGGTAAATTTCCGAATGGTGTTTACAATACATACCGATTGCTGAGTAAATGAACGCCCTATCTTAGATCTCGGTTCAAAAACGCCCAATCTCACTTGAAAATGTGCTGAGATAGGGTGTTTTTGAATCGTCAGCTGAGATTGGGTGTTTTTGAAACGAATTCTGAAATAGGGCGTTCTTGAAAAGTTTTTTGAGATAGGGCGTTTTCGAACTGGCTGCCGAGATAGCACGCTCTTCCTCTCAGCAGGCAATATACTTTTGACCATAGATACATTTTTTTAATGCAATTCCATTTCTAGTTCAGCAAGATCAAAAAGCACTACAACAAGGATTTTCTGCACAGCAGTAGTTGCACTTATTTTGCACAATACTATGCATACGCTTTCACAAGGTAAGGAATTCATAATGCCTTCCACTTAATGAATAAAACAATATTCTTGCGAATTGAAATTTATGAGCCTTCCTCCATCCATTTATTACATTTTGTCGCTTTGCGAATGGGTTCGGTACTCATAAGTGGCCATAGGCTCAGGTTCGATAGTTTTACATATTATGACACCTTAGTGTATTTCCGGTTATAAAACCTCAACTGCCAATATGTGCAGTAACAAAGGAGTATGGTGAGTCACGGATTATAAATTCATACATACATACATATCGACCCCTAGCCGCCAAAAAGACGTAAGCGACATTTTTTCAAAATTTTATTTTTGATGCAGAATTGCATTTAGTTGTTCTTGGAACATTTCTGCATCAAAAAGAAAATTTTGAAAAATGTCGCTTACGTCTTTTTGGCGTATGTACATCGAATTTTTCCGCGAAGCTCAGGAAATGAACTGCTATGACGGGGTTTGCTTCAGTTTCAGATTTTAAGTCTACGTTTTTTAAACGAATATTTAGATAACTTTTACTGTATTTTTATCGTTAGCTTTTTATGGCTGTTTTATTGGTTTTTTTTTTTTTGCTACTTGGCTTTGCTGGGTTGAAGTAAATTGTTTGTGAAAGGTGCAGTTTTTTATGTTCCGTCTTAAAAAATATGCTTCGCCACTCTTATTTTTCTTCCTCTTCTTGTTTGGCGCTTTAACTGCCTAAGCGAGTCACTCCAGTGCTGTCCTTTTTGTACCAACTGACGCCATTTGGAAATTCCAAGTGAGTTAGATGTCCTTCCCACATGGTCTTTCCATCACAATGGGGGCCTCCCTCTTCCTCTACTAGCACCAGCGGGTTCCGAGTTGAATACTTTTAGAGCTGGAGCGGCGGTGTCTATTCGAAGGACACTACACTATGCACTATGTCCATATCGTTGTAAAGCTCATACATATTTTTGCTTAACTTGATATAGCGTACTCGTATCACGAAAGGACGAATAGAAAGTGTTGTAGTGTGTAGACTTTTCTGGAACTTGGCCTTCACTGTTGGAGTAGCGTTAAACAAAGTTTTTGAACTGGAAGCAATTTCTTTAAAGTTGAAGGAACTAAGCATATGTAAGCTCAGTACCGTTATAATCTAATGCAAAATTTTCCAGAATTTCTTCCACTAAGCAATCTTCTTATTGAACCTTGGGAAACACTCTGGAAACTAGATCAGGCGCCACAGTTTTTTGAGCAGAACGCATAATAACGCTCATCAGTTGAACTCCAGGTACGCAGTACACAACATTGTTGCGTCAACATGTTTCCGTATTGGACGGATATCTAGGTGGAACTAGTTTAACCTAGGAAAAACTCCTCACACTGGTAAAAATAGTTGGTGGTATTTTCAAGTTTTATCAACATTTGTAAAACCTTTTAAAGTTGACGACATACAATAATACGACACTTACGACAATGATGTGAATACCCCATTAGTTTCATAAATTATTTGTAAGCAAATAGGTTAATTACAAGGTTAATATATAAAATGAGAATGTAAAGCAGGGCTGCTCAAAATTTTTGTGTAGACTAAGATTTTTTTTTGAATGAGGTTAAAAAGTACCAGGTTATTTTTAACCGACTTCCAAAAACAGGAGGAAGTTATCAGTTCGTCTTAATATTTTTTTTTTTGGTATGTATGTATGTATGTTACCGCATAACTTTGGCTCACGT